CTCCTCCTCCTCCTCCTGCTGATGATGTTGATCTTCTACTTTCAGCTCCATGCATTTTTTACCTTCCTCTCTCTCTCTCTCTCTCTCTCTCTCTCTCTCTCTCTCTCTCAATTTTTCAAATGAAACCAATAAAATAATGTCCTCTCCAACACATATACTTTATTAGCTAGCTATGTCTATATGTGTCAAGAAAGAGAAGAAAGTGAAAGGAGGGAGGGCCAACATGTAGTTAATGCCAATGCTGTATGTAGTATCGGAATGAATTCAAAAACAGTAACTTTAATTTGTGGTGACAAAAAGAATCCAGGCAATGGTACTTTTTAGATAAGAAAAGCTTCACTTGGTTGAATTCGGTTCACTCCTGTTTAAGGTATCCAAATGTTTTAGAACATCCAATTAATCACAATTAAATCTTCCCCATCCAATTATCTGCTGCGTCTATGGGTGGTATTTTTTGTTTGCATATATATATATATGTGTGTGTGTGTGAGTAAGTAAGATGCTTGCAAATTAAAGTTGAAGACATATCGATCTGATCATAATGAAAAAGAATGCATATACCACCTACAAGGGAGGGGAGTGGACATGGAATTTGTACTGACCTTTTATTCAGACGGAGGATGGGACACCACCTAAGCTTCGGTTCCCGGTTGTTGTGTCGCCAATGAGTAATGTGAAGGTGCCCCTTCTAGCTACAACTGCATCATGCGACATTCCCTTCTCCTACTCTCAGCGGGACACTCTTATTAGGCAACCCCCGGAAACTATTACCTACCGCAAGGAAGGTGGCGTTTACGATGGTGACAGCGGTTCGTACAACTTCAAGCACAAGAGAGAAAAAGAACCGCTTGCGGGATGATCATCTTGTGAAATTAATTTGATGTTTGTGGGTAGCGTCGCTGGAAACCCTCACGAGACTTCACTCATCCCATCAGGATTACCTATGGATTTAAAAGGCTTGTTGCATATGCTAAATACAATCGCGTTCCTTGTGAAAGTGGCATTGTCTTAAGTTTTCCTTTCGTTGTGATTTGGGTTCAATAATATTGCATGCAGCTGCTACTCATGTGCTCATGCATTCATGCATTAATTTATGTAACCTATAGCTAAGACTATCTTTGGGAATAAAAGTTGAGCTTTTTTCGTTTTACTATTCCGATCTAGATTACTTGATGCATTCATGCATTACTTCCATGATTCAAGAGTCTTAATTAATTAATTACTCGGGTCCTTGATTATTACAAGACCAGTAAGAATAATTGACGTTGACAATTGCCAAGCCAGATAAACAATAATAATAGCATGCATTCCAAGGTACGCAGATTAAAAAATTAAAAGCGGAATTAAAGATTATAACAAAATTCTCAACATATATCAACATCTCAGAACTTTTGTTCCAACTCCTATAAACATTTATCATTTCTTCAGCAGCCAAAAGAGTGGGAGAAAGAGACTTGAGGTGAGTGATAAAGATGCATGAACCAAATGCCATTAATAAATAAACCTTAAAAAAGCAGTGAAATTTACGAAACCCAGAAAGCAAATTGCCTAGGACTCGGCGGATTGATTCATAATTCCACAGTTTCCCGAGAAATTTAAGAGAACCCAGATGAAAAAGTCGACATTCAATTCAACCTTAACGAAAATAAATAAATAAAAATTTTAAAACAAAATTAATTTGAGGCATGAAAGTAGCTGGTAGCGATGTCCACCTTCACAGAAACCGAAAGCTGTTTGTTTTCTTCCACGTTTGCTCAAAGCAATGGAGGGAGCAGATGAAGGAGAAAAATGGCACTTGCCAAGCAAAAACAACATAAAAATCTGAGAGTGTTGTTTGTTTGATTCGAAGAACCAAAAGAGCTGAGGAAACAAACGAATGCCTCTCACTGTCTAGTAAAACAGATTTTTTCTCTTCTATCAACGAACGTGAGAGGGAAGAAACACAGATTTTTTTATATATTATTTATTTATTATGGTTTTGTTTTATATGTGTTGTGAAAGATCCAGTCTTTTTGACAAAATAGAAGGCAAATGCAATGCTGCTATCACCAAAGAGTGACACGAGGCAGTCGGTTTTCACGAGAAGGAAAATTATAGATTATCACATTCGCCAGATGGAAAGTGTCTTCAAGTTTTGTGTGGTCTGCATTTTCTTTATTAACTTGCAAACAAAAAAAATAAGAATCTATGCACTGCAATTTTTTTCTTTCTCTTTTCTCTTTTCTAGTGAAACCACTTCAAATTATGTACCTTATATATATATAGGTAAATAGTGTTAATATTAGCAAGGAAAAAAACTTAATGATAAATCGTGTTACCTATAAGTTAGGAACATAAATTAGAAGACTATTGATAAGTCATATAAAAAAATACACAAATAAAATTCTATGTTACCTATAAAAAAAATATATAAAATACTATTACACATTGTCAAAAATATGAAAAACACATATATACCTATTGACAAGGCTTAACCTTGTTTTATGTGAAGACGTGAAGCACGCTTTAGTTTGTTTTATTTGAAGAATATTATTACTTGTTCCTTTCAAAAGATCAGCAAAAGATCAGCAATAAAATTAGCCTTAACATACATGTTAGTGTTTTATATGCGATTAGAAAGTTCTAATCATACTGTTTGACGATAAATAAATAAAAAATTCTTGGACTTATTATTTTACAAGGTACGCAGATTAGAAAATCGAAAGGGGAATTAAAGATTTAGGCTTTTTATCACAAATGGTCCTTGACGTTTACGAAATAATCAAGAATGGTCCTTGAGGTTTTTTTGTGACACTAATAGTCCTTAACGTTTGGAATTTTTATCACAAATAGTTCATGTCATCAAAAATTATGTTAAGTGTCTGATGTGGAAGATAAGTGGAGCCCACATGTCCAATCACATCGTGACATGTGGATTAAATAAATAAAGAAATATTTTTTTTGGATGAAAATCCATTAAAAAACCATTTAGCCTCTCTCTCTCTCTCTCTCTCTCTCTCCTCTCCTCTCCTCTCCTCTCCTCTCCCTGTGCTTTCCCTTTCCCTCTCCCTCTGTTTTTTGGTTGCCTCTACAACCCGACTGAAGATTCTTTGTTGCCTCTACAAACCTAATAAAACCTAAATAATCATTTGTTGCCTCTGTTTCAATTCTTTTGCACTGAATGGCTTAATCATTTGGATCAAACAAACTTTTGATATAATTTTTCCATAAAAAAAAGAGAAAGCTATTTAACTTTCGGACTATATGTTTAAGGGAGAGGGAGAGCAGAGGGAGAACAGAGGGCGAGAGCAGAGGGAAAGAGAGAGAGGCTAGAGGGAGGAGAGAGAGGACATTGGGAGAGAGAGACTGAGTATAGGGAGGGGATGGGAAGTTGCACAAAAACATGGATTTTTATTATAAAAAAATATTTCTTTATTTATTTAATCCACATGTCACGATGTAATTGGACATGTGGCTCCACTTATCTTCCATATCAGACACTTATCAGAATTTTTGATGGCAGGGACTATTTGTGATAAAAAGTCCAAACGTTAAGGACTATTAGTGTCACAAAAAAACTTCAAGGACAATTCGTGATAATTTCGTAAACGTCAAGGATCATTTGTGATAAAAAAACCAAAGATTTATAACAAAATTCTCAACATATACCAATACTACAGAACTTTTGTTCCAACTCCTATAAACATTTATCATTTGATCAAAGGAAAAACTCATGCTTGCCCCTGCTCTATAAATTACTTATGCGGGAATGAAAAACTCCTCACGAATTCTGGTTGCCTGATAAACCAGAAACACAGGTTAGATTCCTCTATTATAAAAAAAGCGAAGTCTAGAATTTTATGTTATGAATAATCAAGGGTGATGAAAATATCCAACGATGTCAGCATTTGTTAAGGGTTTCTTAGGTCTAGGTCTAAAACGATTAGCTGTCATTGGATTTAGTCCATGAGTTTTTGGTTTTAGATCTAGGTCCTTTGACATTTATATTACTTTTTTTGTTGTGTTGTTTTTACCTTTTGAGGTAAATAAGTAAAACATATTGAAAATCTAAATTTTATGCATTATTTCCTTGTAATTGAATTTCAGAATTTAAATTTTGATTCTTTCCTTGATAATATATACCTAATATATGGATAAAATACAATTTAGTCAATGAAAAGTAAAGACCCACATATTATACCAATCGATCAGACAAGCACCCACTTCAATTATGTACCTTACATATAGGTAAATAGTGTTATTATTAGCAACGAAAAAAACTTAGTGATAAATCGTGTTACCTATAAGTTAGGAACATAAATTAGAAGACTATTGATAAGTCATATACAAAAATACACAAATAAAATTCTATGTTACCTATAAAAAAAAAGTACATAAAATACTATTACACATTGTCGAAAATATGAAAAAACACATATATACCTATTCACAAGGCTTAACTTTGTTTTATGTGAAGCGTGCAGCATGCTTTAGTTTGTTTTATTTGAAGAATATTATTACTTGTTCCTTTCAAAATTGCCGCAAAAGATCATCAGAAATGGCATTACAATCATATTGTTCCATCCTAATTAATGACATAAGTACAAGTAGTAGAAATTACCTAATCAAGTTCCCATTACAACAGACAGGAATATACTAGGCTTAACTTTATTTTATTTGAAGATGTGAGGCACGTTTTAGTTTGTTTTATTTCAAGAATATTATCACTCGACCTTTCAAAACTGCCACCTGGCTTGTCTTTTTTTTGTGGCTTCAATTTTCTCTGTTATCGCGAGCCAGTACAGTAAGAAAAAGAAGCGAAAGCTGCATGCATGGTTTGGGTTTGCTTGATTATAAATAGCATAGCAGGTTGGAGCTAGGAAAAGCAATAAGAAACGAGAGAGAAAGAAAGAGAGAAGTGAGTTTACATTTGTATACATTTAAAAAAAAAATCAATCATATTGAAGCTCGAGCGAGAGATAATCAGAAATGGCAGCATTACGACCAGGGTCTTGTGCGTTTCAATCAAAGATGAACAATAAATACTTGCACAACATATACGTAATCAACAACCGGCAGGAGGTTCTCCAAGAGGTTGTTCTCCAATTCTCTGGAGATGATGTTGCGAGCAAACACGCAAAGTTCCAAGTGGAGGAGGACGAACAGGACCCCAAACTAGTGCATATAAAATCCTCCTTCAACAACAAATACTTGAGGAGGGCAGGACAAAACAGTTCGTGGATTGTGGCCAGGGCTGAAAAGAAAGAGCAAGATCGACATCAGTGGTCATGTACACTCTTTGAGCCTCAGGAATTCCATGACACACAAAACTGCTGCAACCCCACCACCATCGGGCAATTCCGATTACGCCACGTGCAACTCGATCACTTTATAGAGCCATTCTCTGCAAACGGATCGGATCCAGACCTTTTTGCAGGCCGAGAATTTCAACCCAAAGACAACACTGTCTTCTATGTCGAAGATCTACCCGAAGACTCAGTCCCTAAAGAACCTACAGAATGATCATTCTGTTAAGTTAATTTGATGTTTGTGGGTAGCGTCGCTGGAAACCCTCACGAGACTTCACTCGTCCCATTAGGGTCACCTATGGGTTTAAAAGGCTTGTTGCATACGCTAAATGCAATTGCGTTCCCTGCTAAAGTGGCATTTTCTTAAGTTTCCTTTCTGTTGTGATTTGAGTTTCAATAGTATTGCATGCAGCTGCTGCTCATGCATTAATTTATGTAACCTATAGCTAAGACTACATGTGGGAATAAAAGTTGTGCTTTTTCGTTTTACTATTCCGATCTAGATTACTTGATGACTTCATGAATTACTTTCATGATCCAAGAATTACTCGGGTCCTTAATTATTTCAAGACCAGTGAGAATAATTGACATTGAGAATTGTCAAGCCAGATAAACAATAATAGTTCAATCAATGCATTCCAACGTACTCACGTTAGAAAATCAAAAGGGGAATTAAAGACTCTAAAAAATTCTCAACACATATATCAACATCTTAGAACTTTTGTTCCAACTCCTATAAATATTTATCATTTAATTGAAAGGATAAATGTATTGTCGATCGATCGATAATTTATCATTTTGATAAGAGAAATGCTTAGCTAGCTAGTTTCTTGATGATATTGATCAGAGAACTCTGACATCTGCGAAGTCTAGCAACTTCAAGCTCTTATTTCCACCTATGATGGCTTCATCAAGTGGAGTTCTTCCCCATCTGCAATCAGGAAGTAGACTAATTAGAAAAGTTAAACACATGCATGTTTGGAATTATTTTTTAATAGACAGTCCTTAGCTTTTAGTCTAAACAGAATTATCAAAATAGAAATTTAGTGAAATACCCATTCCTAGACATAAAACTATAAATATACCCTATACCATTCAATATATATAAACACACCCAAAAAAAACCCAAAACTGACAGCTGTTACCTTTTTTAATTTAATTAGATAAATGAAATACCTTTATTACCCATTTAGTATTAAATTAGTTTATTTGAAAAAATTTGGGCGCTCTCTCTCTCATCTCTCTCTGTTCGCTCTTGTCTCTCTGCGTTCGCTCCCGTCTCTCTCCAGCGATCTTGGTGCTCCGGCCACAGCCAGCCGTGAGACTGGTCAGAAAAGGACCGGCCAGGGCCGACGATCAAGTCTGGGCTAAAGCCCAGCCACATCAGCCACTCACGACGCCGCTGCGAGCTCGGAAAGGTCTGTGGATTTCGAGTTTTTCGACGTCATTTCCGGCGACTTCGGCGGTTGTTTCCGTCAATCGAGGTATGAAACTTCATCTACTTTTCGTGCTCTAGCTGTTTATGTATGTGGTTATGATAGATTTTGGAGTTTTGGAAATTAATCAATACACCCTAGATTTTGGTGTTTCTGTATGTGCAATTGTAGATCCAATTCTTCTTGATTTTATATGTTTATTTTTGTTATTGCCGATTTGGAGGCAAGCTATTGGATTTTATGATTTCGTTCTAATTTGTATTTAGATATTAAAGGTAGCAGCCAGCCCAAACCAGAAGGGTTTGAGGCTTCGTTGTCTTGATTTCCCCTGCAAATGAATGCATGATACCATATTATTATTCATATGAGGACACAAAGATCAATGCTTGAGAAACTGATACAATTTAAGGACAATTTTGGACAGAGTGACTATATTATGTTTGAGAACATGTAACACAGTACTGCAAATGCATTAAACGCAGAATAACGTACGGTATAGGCATAATGGGACTAAACAAGTAAAATTATAATTCATACCAGCTCACCATGGCATACTATGTATAGTTGATCAACTGCTTGCCCCTGCTCTATAAATCACTTATGCTGGAAGGAAAAACTCCTCATGAATTCCGGTTGCCTGATAAACCAGAAACATAGGTTAGATTCCTCTACTATAAAAGAAGCGAAGTCTAGAATTTTATGTTATGAATAATCAAAGGTGATGAAAATATCCAATGATGTCAGCCTTTTCTACACTAGGGTTTTTTAGGTCTAGGTCCAAAACGATTAGCTGTTATTGGATTTAGTCCATGAGTTTTTGGTTTTAGATGTAGGTCATTTGACATTTATTACTTTTTTTGTTGTGTCGTTTTCACCTTTTGAGGTAAATAAGTAAAACACATTGAAAATCTAAATTTTATGCATTATTTCCTTGTAATTGAATTTTAGAATTAATATTTTGAATTCTTTTCTTGATAATATTTACCTAATATATGGATAAAATATAATTTAATCAATGAAAAGTAAAGACCCACATATTATACGACCAATCGATCAGACAAGCACCCACTTGAAATTATATACCTGACATACAGGTAAATAGTGTTATTATTAGCAACAACAAAAACTTAGTGATAAATCGTGTTACCTATAAGTTAGGAACATAAATTAAAAGACTACCGATAAGTCATAGACAAAAATACACAAATAAAATTCTATGTTACCTATAAAAAAAAGTACATAAAATACTATTACACATTGTCGAAAATATGAAAAAACACATATATACCTATTCACATTAAGCACCGAAACAACAAAGAAGAAAATACAAGGCTTAACTTTGTTTTATTTGAAGACGTGAAGAACGCTTTAGTTTGTTTTATTTGAAGAATATTATTACTTATTCTTTTCAAAACTGCCGCAAAAGATCATCAGGAATGGCATTAGTACAAGTAGTAGAAATTACAACAGACAAGAATATACTAGGCTTAATTTTGTTTTATTTGAAGACGTGAAGCACGCTTCAGTTTGTTTGATTTCAAGAATATTATCACTCGACCTTTCGACCTTTCAAAACTGCCACCTGGCTTGACTTTTTTTTGTGGCTTCAATTTTCTCTGTTATCGCGAGACCCACAGGATGATCAATCCCTTTGGTCATGTACGCTCGTCGAGCCTGCGCTTGTTCAACTCCAACCAGACAACAACAGCAGCGGCAGCATCGCCCTAATCTGAATGCGCCTCGTGCAACTCTGTCAACGTTTAGATCTATTCTCTGCAAACAACTTCCAGGCATGCCTCTTTGCAAGGAAAGCAACGCCAGACAGCCAAAACTTTGATGTCTACACAGTCATCGACTGGGAAGCGTTGGTGATTTTGCCCAAGCACATGGCCTTCAAAGGCTACAATGGCAACTATCTCAGCGCCCAATCCATGGATGGACACCCATATCTACAGTTCTCAGTCAGCCACTGATCCTACTGTTTCTTCTGCTATTTCTTCTTCCCGTCTCTCTTTTCTCCTTCTCACTCGGATCATATATTTTCTCTCAAACCCTAAATTTTTATTTCAATTTTTTGTTTGAAAAGATTTAGGAGATAGAAAAAAAGAATTAATTTGATTCGTGGTCATGAGTACTGGAGATCTTCTTAGCATTCAGCCCACAGAGCTCAAATTCCCATGTAAGTCTGTTGCTTTCGTCTTTCTTTAAATTTCAATTTCCTTTGTTTGTATGTCAGATGATTTTCCGTTTGGTTGGTGAGAAAATTAAAGAAAAATATCCATTTTGAATGCCATGTTGGGATTTACTGGACTAGATCGTAGTTGCAGATGCTATGAACTTAGATCGTAGTTGAACAAAATGAAGAATAAATGTCACTAGATCGGCTAAACTGCGGATTTATAAGAGATTATTAGAAATTGTGGCTAATCTTCCTTAACATGATACTATACATAATCTTCTTATTTTCAGAGATACATCTTTCCCTACTGTAATTAATACAACAACAAACATAAAACACACATACATAATAATAAAAATCATAGATGAAGCAAAAGCAGTGACGGTTTTTAGGACTAGTTTGCCAGGTTGGGAGTTGCTGTGGTTGCAGTTTCCACTATACCTGGGCTTGAAGTTGACTCAATTTTCTTGTCATGGGCTTGTCGAGGACAAGACCAAGGCTTGCGACCTTCGTGATCATGATGATGATGATGATGACAACGTCTAGTAATAAAAGCTCCAGCCATGGCCCCCAACACAAACGTTACACCAGGTTTTAGAACACCCATTTGGCTCATCTTTTTTCTCGGATTTATGTTGGTCTCAAAGCTAGATGGTGATGGAATAATATAGTGAGAAAGTTTTGAGATTGGAAGTGTGAGGAAAACGGAAGAGTTTGATGGGTTTTATATGGAGCATGGAGTGGAAACTTTGAGTGCTGGGCAAGGCTTTGGTTGGGTCATGGTTCTCATATGGGATTTGGCTATTGGCTTGACCCTTCTAGCCCCTTCTTCAAGGGTCAACAACTCCAAACAATTGTATAACGGAAACCCGATAAGGGCCATAGTGGGCCAGCACTCATTGACTGCGTTCTTCACGAAAACCGTGTCCCTTGGCGCATACGGCTGCTCATCCAAGACGTTATGCATTTGAGTTCTTTCTTTGACAAGGTCTAATTCCATCATATCTACAGATAGGCTAATTTTACAGCAGATGCTTTACCCAACTTGGGACACTGCCTTTCTCATTCTAAGGCCATACCCAATGAGGGCTCTAAAATGGGCTGCATCGATAAAATGGGCTGCATCACCTTTGGAATCGGGTTGCAGCCCTTGAAACTTGGTGGGGACCACATTTGGAAAAAGCTGCAGCCTTACAATTTTTTGGCTCACTTGCCTTGCGACTCAACAGGGTCATACTCGCCCATTTTGATAGTTGCTGATTACTTTTTCTAATTTTTTATATATAATTATTTGGCCAATTGCAACAAGCTTGTCTCATTGTTTTTGGTTTTTT